ACAACTCTGGAAGAGGATTTATGCAGTGACGGATAAACAAGTAGCAAAAAATTGTGTTCTACTGACAAGTTCCTGTTGCTTTGTAGAACAAGACATGCATAGCTTAATCATAGGCGGATCCACAGGGCGGTCTTCTGGGGAGTGGGGGGGAGGGGGGATTTGGGCGATTTTTCTTCCTACATCGCAAGCTCAATCTTCCCCCTGACCACCACACTGGTCCCCACTCGGACGTCTCACTATATCTCCCCCTCCCCTCTCAAGGGCTTCCCTGCACCCCAGTCTTCTTCCTCTCGCCAGTCAACCCTGAACTGCATCGACAACCGGAAAGAAGGGGGTGCTCCTGGGCGAGGGGGAGGGGGAGGGCGGAGAAGGTGCGACAAGGGTATCGAAGAGAGTTTTCTACAGTAAAACAACTGCTTCCTGAACCCCTGGGAGAGGCGAAAGGCCCCTTATCCCTCCCCCGCTCTCCCTTTCTTGGATCTGCCAATGAGCTTAATGGACCGAAATGTCATTATCGTGACAAATACTATTGTAGATACTGTGTGTATATATTTTTACAGTTTTATTTTCATCCTATCTATGTTTAAATTACAATTTCTGTATGTTTGTTTATTTTTACTTTTTATTTACTTAGCTTCGCCTGGCGTATTGGGAGCATTCCAGTAACATCACTAACAGGGAATACCCGCACTGGCGGCTTAAGCGGCCCTGGTATTTACTTAAATTTGCTTTGATTATCGGTGGCTTTTGACTTTGCCAATTTATCGGTGATTTTTTTTTTGAAAACAAATCAGTCCCTGTGGAGGGTTTGTATATTTTGCAGCCGAATTGTGTACGTATGGAGCATTTGTGTGAAACAGAAACAATGGCTTATATCGTAATGGAATATGTTGCTGGTGGCGAGCTCTTCAGTCGCATTGTTTCGCCAGCAAACAAAGGATGCGGCCTGGGTGAATCGATAACAAAATTCTATGCATGGCAACTTTTTGGTGCCCTTGAGGTATGTTTTTAATCCGTAAAGGGTCAAGCCGATTTTTGGGGTAAAAAAAGCGTTTTACAATAAAAAATTTGAATGAATTTTTGTGGTGTTGGAATTTGTTTTGTGAGCTGCAAAATTTTTAGCTTCGAAAGTCAGTGATTTTTTTGGATGGAAAAGTTTCATGTTGAAAGGATGGTTTATTTTGGAGGTGAACGAGATTTGGAAAATTAGGAAAGCGGGTTTTTGAGGAAAAAGTCTTATATCCGCGAAAAATAATGCAGTTTGGGTACCTTCTGTATATATTCAAAGGACAGTTTAGCAGGCTTTCTTTTGCTTCGACAGAAAATTTGCTTCATTTGAATAATTTTTCAGTAACGACGTTTAATTTATTGTTTATAAATAGCAGCGCTGTAAATAGTAATGAAATCATCAAAAGTCGGCGTTAAACTTCGCTTCAGTTTTCATTTTTCCAGAAAATTAAAGGCCTTTCATCGGCAGTAAAAAAAGTAAGAAATTTCGACTTGTACAAGTAGTGTGAGAATGTAAATTACCAATTTTTTGCGATTTTTAGTATCTTCACAAGAATGGTATTGTGCATCGCGATATCAAAGCGGAGAATGTGTTACTACTCGAAAATGAGGATTATACAGTTGTGAAGGTGGATATTTTTCCCTTTTATTTTGTATTTTCTCCTATACTCTGACGAGCTGTCTGTTTTGTTCATAGGCAAATCCAGGGGAGGGAGGGGAATAGCGAAGAGTCTAGGAGGAGCCCATCTCCTTAGCGGCACAGACACCAGTGCTGCAAAAGTCCGGGTCTAAAGCTAAAACTGAAGTAAACTAAAGCCTCGAAATAGTGTAACTCGAAATAGTGTGTTACAACTCTATTCCTAGTTTTTGCATGTTTTCAGGATGGGAGAAGCTCTTCTCCTCCCCCGCTAGCCTTTCTCCCGTCTCACAGGAGCACGTCCTGGATCCGCCTGTGGGAGGCAAGTGCCACCAGCAACTACTTGCTTAGAAGACTTTCGGTTTCTCTCTCTTCCTTGAATACTGCAAGCAGATTGTTAGCACTTTTGTCACCATAACGTATGTCCTATTACCAATGTTACCATTTGAAACAAATAAATGAATTATAAGCATTGGCGGATCCAGGAGGAGAGGCCCCAGGGGCTTAAGTAGCAGGTGTTTTACTGTAGAAAAGTCTACTTGAAACTCTCCGTTATCCCCTGCCCCCCCCCCACCTCCCAGGAGCCTTCGAGAGGGTGTAGTGGGGTGACGAAGCACAAAGGAAGAAGGTGTGGTGAAAACCCCCACCCCCC